AATATAGGCTTCAGGAAATATAAAAGTAGTGGTTCATTTAAAAAAAAAAGTAGGGGGAGGAGGGATTGAATAACAATGAGTTTTTCTTTCTTTTCAAGGAGAAGAGTGAATTGGAGGGAGGTGGGTAGGGAAAAAAGTGCAACAATGAATGAGTGGAAACCCTCAGTCTCTGTAAACTTTCATTAAAATTATTTAAAAAAAAAAACAACAAACAGTGAAAAAGGAATCTGAGATCCTTCTGAGCTACTTCCCCCATTTTAGAGCTCCATGCTGTAAGCCATGTGAACAGGAGAAGAAAAAAGCCTAGAAGGTCATGTGTAACATTTTAGGACCAATCCCAGAAATGACACACACCACTCTGGCCACATTTCCCTGGCCAGAACACAGTTCACACGGCTCAATCGACATACCTGTAAAAGGCTGGAGAATGTTTATGTTCACAGGAAGAGGAAATGGAACTGATCCATGAAAAGGTTGAAAACATAAAGAATGAGAAAAGTTATGGTATGCAAACACTAAACAGAAGAAAACGAGTAAATATGTTCATCTTGGACAAAACAGTCTTCTAGGTAAAATACATTACTGGAAATAAAGATAATAACCATGTAAAGATAACATATCTAATTCACCTGGAAGATAGGCTAATTCTGATATTATATACGTACCTTATAAAATCTTCAAGTAACATAAAACAAATATTGACAGAATTAGGAAAAACACACTTTTCTCAGATATTGATGTCAAACAAAAATTTAGTAGCATAAAGAAAATATAAATACTACAACTAACAAGTTTGGTCAAAAGAACATGTATATAATTTTGTACTCAACTATAGAGAATGAACATTTTTTTCTTAAGCATAAAACAAATACTTTTGAAAACTGACCATACATTTGGCTATAAATTAAATTTCAGCAAGTGTCGCAGAATCAGCATTATATATACCATGTTCTTGAATTAGTACAATTAGTTTAAAATGAGCAATAGAAAGATAACCAAAATAATGAACACTGTGAATGAAAATGTTCACTATGGTACTAATTATAGTTGTGAAAAATGAGAAATGAAAGTATTCAATAAAATGAGCATGACCAAATAAATTGTGCTTCATCAACCCAATGAGCTATTATGTGGTTATCAAAAGAGTTATTTTTGTTCCTCAAAAAGTTATACACAGAATTATCATATGAAAGCAAGGACTCAACAGTTATTTGTACACTAGTGTCCATTGTAACATTATTCACAACAGCAAAAATGTGGAAACAACTCAAACATCCATCAATAGAAACAAAATGTGTTACAGACATACAATGAAATAGTTTTTGTCATAAAATGAAATGAAGTTCTAATATATGGTATATAATGGATGAACTTTAAAAACATGCTAAGTGAGACGGCAGACACAAAAGGCCAAAAATTGTATTATCCCACATATATGAAATATTTAGAATAATTAAATGCATAGAGACATAATCAAATTAAGTGGTTTCCAGGGATTCGAAACCCATTTTATGGGAGAAGACTGTCCATCTTTTTCCCTCAGAGGTGAGAACAGCTAGCTTGGGGATTTGAACTGCTGATCTTTTTAACTAGCAGCAAAACAAGTAACACATTACATTACCAGAGCTAGAGAGAGGGGGGAATGGGGAGTTAATGCTTAATGAACATTGATTTTCTTATTGTT